CGCAGCCATCCACCCTCGCGGGATCCCTCTAGCTCGACGTTCCAAGCAGCCATGATCAACCACGGGTCCGTGAGGGCACGGGTGAAGGCCGCCAAGGCGACCATGCTGTCGTTGTTGATGCCTCGGAACAGTAGGCCAAGCTGTAGATGAGCTGCAATGGCCACACCGTTGCCGAGCTTCATGTGGAGAGCGAGCGGCGCAAAGCCCTTGCATGGGCCCACCCGCCCCTCCGATCTCATCGTGTTGCGCATCCTCTGGAAGGACGTGGTGTCGACATGGGGTCGGGAGAGCATCCACTCGCCTCCTGACAACCCAGCTTCAGAGCGTCCCGAGGGCCGCGCTGCGGTGGCATGGGGCAGCCACCCGTCCTTGTGCAAGTCCACCTCGATCCTGTCCAAATCGGAGGCGCCTCTGTGGGACTCGACCAGGCCGACGACCGAAGTCTTGATGTGGTGTTGCGTGATGTACCGCTGGGCCGTCGGGCCCCACTCGGGGATGTTGGCGAAAAAAAAACTCGTAGAGGTACTCGGCGGCGCCGGTGACGCCGACGTGGGGGGCGGCGGGGCGCCGCCGCTCGCCTGAGTAAAGGCAATGAAGGCCACCAGCAGCAGCCGCTGGAGCAGGCTGGAGAGCGGCCGAACCCGCAGCCGCCGCCATGGTCTTGGCCGCGTGGGCGCCCTCGGCAAGGTGGGCGATGGCCGCCGCCCGCTTCTGATTGGCCTCGGCGGCGAGCTCGACGTTGGGGCCCTTGCCTGCTCCCTTGGCGGGGGGCGGCGCGCCTGCAGGCGACTGGGCGCTGCCGCCGGCGTGGCCTGGTGGGGCCTCCTCATCGACCCCTTGGGCCACGCCCTCAGGGCCCTTGCGCTTCTTCCTGGGCGCCGACAGGGCCTTGCGAGCCTGCGTGCGGATGTCCTGGAACTGCTTCTCACGACGCCTAGCCTCCTCTCTGACTGCCGCGAGCTGCGACGGGAACTCGCGCAACTGCACCTGCTCCTCCTCCTCAAACTCGTCAGCGTGCTGGAAGAGGTCAGCCTCGACGCCGAACGGCCCAGCGGCAGGCGGGAGCGGCGCCTCCTTGGCGTTGACGGCCTCCTGGGCGAGGATGCGCTCCTGGTCCGCATCGTAGAGCGCCGCCGCCGCGGACAGCTGGCGCCCCTTCGCCTCCTGGAGGCGCTCCCCTGCCTGGACCAGCTTCTCCGTGGCCTGGTTGAGGGCGTTCTGCTTCTGGGCGCACTTGGCAGCAGCCGCCCTCTGGGGCACGTAGGGACACTTCGGCGGAGCTTTAGGCGCGAAGGCAAGCGCCTGGGCCCGCACCTTCTCGACCAGGCCGAGCGCCGCGGGGTCGTTGGAGAGACCAGCGGCGGCCAGGTACGTCTGAAGAAGGTTTTGGGCTGAATCGCCATGCTGCCCACCTCCTTGACCGCCACGGTTGCCACCCTTCTGGTTGCCGCCGCTGCCGCCACCGTTGTTGCCGCCGCCACCGGTGTTCCAGGCGTTCCAGCTCGGGTCGGGGAAGAAACAAGTCTCGCCGCATCACTTACCGTCCTGGCTCTTGAGGCGCCAGTTCCAAGCCCAGTTCTGGCAGCTCTGGCACCAGGTGAAGCCCCGCACCTTGCCCTTGTCCTGAAATTTTTCCCGCCCATGGGAATGCTCAGCCGATCTCACCGACCCACCTCGCTGGAGGATGGGCGTCAACCTGGGGCGGACCAGGTGAATGGATGTCGGGCGCAAACACCCTGGCAATGCCGCGGAATAGCGATATCAGTGATTGCCAATCAGGCTCGGCCGGGCCAGAGCAAAATCTTGAGCCAAAATGGCAACGGAGGAGGAGGATGAGGATGAGGATGAGGATGGGGAGGATGAGGAGGAGAAGGAGGAGGAGGATGATGATGATGATGAGGAGGAGGAGGAGGAGGAGGAGGAGGAGCAGGAGGAATAGCGGAGGAGGAGGAGGAGGGAGGAGGAGGAGGAGGGAGAGGAGGAGAGGAGGAGAGGAGGAAGAGGAGGAGGAGGAGGAGAGAAGGAGGAGGAATGTGAGGAGGAGGAGGAGGAGGAGGAGGAGGAGGAGGAGAAGGAGGGAAAGACTGGGTAGGGTAGGCGGGAGGATCAAAGGAGGAAGATGGGTTGCATGCCAGGCCCAACCGCCCAGTCTGCATATGCCAGGCTCCTGCTGCTGCTCCTCCTCTGTCCTTTGATTGCTGCTGCGTCCCAAGCTTGGGCTTCGCGGGCTGAGCCCGCCAGGACTGTCATTGCCGCGAGCGACGTCAAGTTCGCGGCCACAATTCAGGATCCGCAAAGCCAATCCCTATCCTACTCTGTCTCCGTCTTCTCCTCCACCTTCTCCTCCTCCTCCTCCTCCTCCTCCTCCTCCTCGTGCTTCTCATTCCCCTCGTCTGCTGTGGGGCTGATCAGGAGCAGTAGAAATCTTAGATCCCGCTGTGCTGAGCGGCAGTATGTGGCGCGATGCGCTTCACGAGCCGAGTCTGCCTCCGCCGCCCTTGCTGACCGACGTGGCGCTCGAAGCGCGCCCAACGATCGAACGCACGAGAAAGCCTCACGGTGCTGTACAGCCTCACCCGCTGCCCTGATTTGTCTCTTCAAGAGGCAAACAGGTGAGACAATGGGGAAGGGAGAGGGAAGGCCCGTGCCCCTCATTCTCTCCGCCAGCCCCTCCTCCTCCTCTTGCCCTTCCTTCTCTCCCCCGCTGCTCCACCTCCACCTCCCCCAGCCCCCCTCCTTCCTATCTCCCCCCTCGCCCCCCCACCCCTCGGAGAAAACGCGCAGCACGGAGGCCCTCGGAGCTCCCCTGCCTTTTCGTCCGCGTCGTGCCTCACAGACTCGCTGTGCGCGCCCGTGGTTGCTTCCTCCCCTCCTCCTTCCCCGCCTTCCTCTCCCCTTCCTCTCTGTTTTCCTCCTTCTCCACTGCCAGCATTTCTCCTCCATCTTCTCCTTCCTTTTTCGCCCCGTCTTCCCCCTTCATGTTCCCGTGTGTCTGCCTCTCTGTCTGTCTGTCTGTCTGTCTGTCTGTCTGTCTGTCTGTCTGTCTGTCTGTCTGTCTGTCTGTCTGTCTGTCCCTGTCTCTCTCTGTCTGTCTTTGTGTCTGCCCGTCTCTCTCTTTCACCGTCCCCCCATGTGAGCACCTGCGGTGCGGACTGGCACGACGACGGCTGGCGTGGTGCGCCCTGTCTTCTACATGTTCTGGGACCGTGTGTCCTACCTGTACCCATCGGGGCCCTGTCTCCCGCGTGAACACCCACGGTGCGTGCTGACACGACGACGGCTGGCGTGGGACGCCGGCCTCTCTCCTCCCTGTTCGCTTCCCCTCCCCCCCCCCCGCTCGCATCCCCCCCTCCCATGGCGGCAACGCCTGGCACTGCGCGGCTTCGGCCCGGTGCCGGGCGCTGCGCCTTGCCGCCTCGGCGGCCCCGCTCGCCTTGGCGCTGCGCGGCTCAGGCCCGGCCCTCGGCCATGCGGACGTCAGCGCATCGTGTGTGGCTGCTGCCCGTCTTCACGCGCTGACGGTGCAGGACAGATCTTCTCCCTGCGCTCCACCGACATCCTGTCGGACAAGGACGGCCCTCGTCTGTGGCCGCACCTCAAGCAGGCTGCTTCCTGGTCGTGGATTGGACTACCACCCTGGGCCTCATCCGCATCACCCGGTGGCACAACGTTGCACATCGCCTTCGTGGTGCTCTTCTTCCTCCTGGGCCTCCTCTGCAACATCCGGTGGCACAGCGTTGCTCATCGCCTTCGTGGTGCTCCTCTCCCTCCTGGACGTCGCCCTGGTCAAGTGGCACGTCCCCCTCTGCAGTGCTTGAGACTGGTGTTCGCGACGTGCCGTTGACGGCAACACCACATCGCTCGCCCTCCGGATCTTCGGCTCCGATTCTTGTCCGCGGCGTACCTTTTCCTGTGCAAGCTCTTCGGCACCGCCTGCACCCCGGGCTCCGCCCGCTCCGGCCGCCTGAGGCCCCGCCCTCCTGTGCCCTGTCTCCCTAATTAAAGCTGTGCGTCGCCCGCCTAGCTTTTAGCGGAAGAGGTTCGCTCTCGCCCCGCCGACCAAAAAACTGTCTCTCTCTCTCTCTCTTTCTTAATCTCTCTCTGTCTGTCTGTCTGCCTGTCTCTGTCTGCCTGTCTGCCTGTCTGCCTGCCTGCCTGTCTTTCTTTCTTTCTGTCTGTCTGTATGTCTGTCTCTGTCTCTGTCTCTGTCTCTGTCTCTGTCTCTGTCTCTGTCTCTGTCTCTCTCTCTCTCTCTCTTTCCTTGACCTTCCTCCTGCTTCTCCTCCTGCTCTTCCCGCCTCCTTCATCCTCATTTCTTCTCCACTACCTTTCCATCTCTCTATCGCTCCTTATCTCTTTCTTTCCCTTTCCTGACCCCCCCTGCTCCTTCCTGTTCCTGCTCCTGCTCCTGCTCCTGCTGATGCTCGTGCTCGTGCTCGTGCTCGTGCTCGTGCTCGTGCTCGTGCTCGTGCTCGTGCTCGTGCTCGTGCTCGTGCTCGTGCTCGTGCTCGTGCTCGTGCTCTCCTTCCTCCTCCTCCTCCTCCTCCTGCTCCTCCTCCTCCCCCCCTCCTCCTCCTCCTCCTCCACCTCCTCCTCTCTCCTGCTATTCCTCCTCCTCCTCCTCCTTCCTCCCTGGGGCCGCCATCGCCGCTGGCCGCCGCCACCGACCGCCGCCGCGCCGCTGTCGTCGCGTCGTCGTCGTCGTCGTCGTCGTCGTCGTCCGTCGTCGTCGTCGTCGTCGTCGTCGTCGACCTTGATGACCGGGGTGCCGCCGGAGAGTGAGTGGGGGGCCGGGTGTGGCCGGGGCCGCGGGGGGGGGGGATCCGGATTCTCTGGCGGCGCTATCATTGGTTGGTGAGGCGCTGGTGGGCGAGATCCGTGGGTCACAGCCGGTGACAGCGGTATCGCGTATGGCGCGTTACCGATGGGCACACAGGGGTGTCACGTGCTTCCAGGTGAGAGCATACACACACACGTGTGCGAAGCCGTCGCCCTCGGGCCTCCGCCGCGGCGTCCAGCGCGCGGCCGCTCCCGCCGTCTATGCACCGCTCCAAGCCCCGCAGCCCCTCCGCAGCCTCGGCGGGGGAAGGTCGCGGCCCGAGCGGCGGCCGCGAGGCGGCCGAGCGGCCGAGTGGCGGGGCCTCCGCGGCCGCCAGTGGCTGCCGAGTTGCGGCGGCGGCGGTGGCTGCGGCGGAGCATCCACGCCACTCGGCCGATGCCGAGCGGCCGAGTGGCGGGGCCGAGCGTCCGAGTGGCGGCCGAGTGGCCGAGGGATGGGCGGCGGGCTGCGAGCGGCCGAGTGGCGGGGAGGCGCGCTGCGAGCGGCTGAATGATGGGCGCGGCGCGCGGTGCGCGGCGCGCGCGGCCTCGCGCGCAGCAGCCGCCCCCCCCCCCCCGCGAGTCTGAGGCCCCCGCGGCCGCGAGCTGCTGGCGCACAGCCGCGAGAGCCGGCGCACGCCGCGAGGGATCGGCGCCGGCGCCGTCGCTCTCGGGGCGGCCGCCAGGGCGCATGCGGCGCCCCGCCCCCAGCGAAACGCAGGGGGGCGCGGCGCGGCAGCGGCGCTCCTAGGCCCCGGGGGGATGGGGGCGCCACCTCCGCGCTCCGACAAGGGCCTGGGCCGAAGGGGGGCAGGTCGCGGGGGAGGAGGCGGGGATGGGGGGAGATGGACGGTTAGGAGGTGGGGGATGAAGGGGGAGGGGCGGGAGAGGGAAGAAGGGGGAAGAGGGGTATATAAGAGGGCGGGAAAAGGAAGAGAAGAGGAGGAGAGGGATGAAGGGGGAGGAGGTGGGGAAAGAGGAGAAAGAGAAGGCGGAGGAGGAGGAATAAAAGGATGAATAATGAGAGCGAGCAGATGATGGTGGGGAAAGAGGAGGAGAAGGAGGAGGAGGAGGAGGAGGAGGAGGAGGAGGAGGAGGAGGAGGAGGAGGAGGAGGAGGAGGAGGAGGAGGAGGAGGAGTAGGAGGAGGAGGAGGAGGAGGAGGAGGAAGCGAAGGAGGAGATGCAACAGGAGGGGGAGGAGGACGGCGCAAGCGAGGATGCCAGTAGAGAAACAGTTTGGCCCTGCTTGCTGGGCAATGTGTGCACAGTAATCCTTCGCCTGCATTATTGGTACCAACGAAATGCAAGTGTGGAGATATAGAAAGTGAGCGTGCATGTCCGTGAGGGCTCATACAAACTTCGAGGTAGCAATGTGGGATACACCTTTTACGCATGTACACACTCTTGTAGGCACATGTACACATGTACATCTCCATGTGCGCGCGCATAGCATGGCTCATGTCTCTATACGAATTACATGTGTAACCAGCCGCATGGACATCATCACATCATGCTTGATCTCTGTGGTTCGACACACTTGCGTCTGTTTATGCACGTATCCACGGATAGTACAAGGAACTATCCATGTATGTGCATATGTGTGTGTATAGGCCTGTGAACATATATACATATACGCACACACACTAGAACCTCGCGCGCGCTGAGGCTCTAAGCCTCAGCCTTTGACAGGGTCACATCAGGGGGGCAACGGTGCGCGACAGCCCAAGCCAGCTGGGCAAACCTTCAAAACTACCCTGCCGCCTCCAATCTTGCTGCCCCTGGTGGTCCGTGGCTATTTTATGCTCTGGCCGTCCGCCCAGGCTGTCATTACCTGGTTCCTTGACTTCACGTGCGGAGGCTCACCTGGCCATTTTTGGCTTCCCTGGGTTGCCCTTCTGGGACTCTCTGTCCCTGTCCAAGTACACAACCTTCCAGGCTTGCCACCTCATGTTCGCCGTGTACCTTTTCAAGGACAACCCCTGCACGGTTCTCAACTCCGGGCACCGCTGCTGGTGTCGCAACCATCGGGGACCTGCTGACCCGGGTCAATCCAGACCCAGGTCAGTTAGGCCTTGCAGCATCCTGCGATCCTGCACCCAAGCCCGGGTCAGTGTGCGCCCCTGGCCCTGCAGGATCCTGCAAGATCCGGCGCTCTGACTGACACCTCCGTTTGCATTAACCCCCGTCTCTTGCATTGACCTCCGTCTCTTGAGGCATGTCCTCCTACAGGCGGGTTTTGGAGGAAAAATTAAACATAGTCAAGACATATCCAAGAATAATGAAACATAGTCGAAAAATCGTCCCCAGATTCTTTTTTGGACTATCTTTGAATTTTCCTTCTGTAGAGGGACACGCCCGACTCAAATCTTCCTCCGGGCTTCCACTTCATGCTCGCTGTGCACCTTTCTAAGGACAGCCCCTTCACGATCCCCGGCTCCCGGCCACCGCTGCCCGTGCCGCAGCCGCGCCTGGGTTTGGCGCCTTGCACTCCTGGCACACCTTCGCGACGGGCTGCATGCTCTGTGCGGTTCCAGCCTCGTCGACCTTTCTCCGCCTCCTTCGGCCTGTGCCTCAATGCGTTCCCAGCGTGTCCCGGCCCTAGCTCGACCGGCGCCTGCACCGCGTTCGCGCTCTTGCGCCCGGTGGCGTAAAACAGTTGTAAGTAAAAAGTTTAGAAGAACTTCGAGGGTAACCAAGACGCGCGAGCGAGAAGCGCCTGGAGGCCGCCCAACCCCAATTCAAAGCGTAACAGAAGCATCGATCCTCGTAGTTCGACTCTCGAAAATCGATCCCGCTTCTCCCCCCCCTCCTCCTCCTCCTCCTCCTCCTCCTCCTCCTCCTCCTCCTCCTCCTCCTCCTCCTCCTCCTCCCCCCTCCTGCCTCTGAGATTGCTCTGGCGCCCCCGCCCCCCCCCATCAACCAGCCAAACGTAGTTCGAGAAGTACTCTGGCCTCCTCCCTGATATCGCGCCTGACCAGAGGTGCGCCACGCCTGATCATACGTAGAAAGGCTTCGGGTTGGCACCCGTTGGATCCGATTTGTTGACGACGGGCAACGCAACACACCATTAAGGAAACACTTGTAACACCCTTGTAAAGGAAATCGTGGCACACCCCTACGATCGAAGACAGTATGAGCACTTCGCAGAGAACACTCCAGTAACCTTCACACAAGGGATCAACAACGCCACTCCCGCGCAAGAAAACAACCATCATTATACAAGGACGTAGCATGACATCCGTACAAACACACGCACACGCACATCAGTAGCACATCCCAGTGAACCGAATCTAAGCGAGACTCTTATATACAAAGACGCATGTCTGCATCCCTGTGACATGAATCGGCAAACAAACCCGTAAACCAACCAAACCATTTGCGAACCGAGCGCCTTAAACGAAATCAACATGAAGTCCTAACGAGAGAAGAGCAGATCTGCTTGAAGCAAAAGCTAGAACCGCCACAACCTGCATAGAACCTGGTGCGGAGGAGGGGGAGCGACCAGGAGGTGGAAGCGGATGATGTTGATGATGATGCTGCTGATGATGATGATGATGATGAGGAGGAGGAGGAGGAGGAGGAGGGGGAGGCAGAAGGAGGAGGAGGAGGATGAGGAGGAGGAGGAGGTCAGGCGGATGAGTGGGAGATGGGAGGAGGAGGATGATCAGGAGGAGGGCCGAGGGATATGATGATGCTGCTGATGGCGGTGGTGGTGAGGATGAGGGGGAGGCTGACCCTTTACCCCAGAGCCCCCCATCCTCGATCCTCGGCACGCGCTCTTTCTGGATCCGAAGGGGGATCGCTCGGGCGGGTCGTGGCTCCGCGCCCGCTCCAGCCACTTCGTGCTGCGGGCGCGCGTGAATGCTATGGAAGGGACGGGTCCTGAGGGGAAGGGGGCCCTGGAGACCACTGCAGCGCGTGATTGCACATGCTTTGCCTGAGTAGCTGCAGGTGTGTATGCATGCATGTATCTACTGCGTGAATTGGTTGAGAGATCCGTAGCCACTGAGGCTTGAATCCAGAATTTACCGGGCACGTCCCAGAACCAGGCGGAAACAGCTGCGCCATCACAGCCTGAGAGCTCCTTGGTTTCACCGGTCTTCCCCCCTGGGACTTTCCTGTGGCCACTGGAAGGCCGAACAAAATCAAACACTGAAATGGCCCCCTTCTCTCCGGACCCGCTTGCTTCATGGCGAGTGTGTGCCGCCCGAGAAATGCGGCCCGAAGCGTCCAGGGTCGACGTCGGCCTACTGCCAAGCTCTCGCGTCGCCCTCGCCTCGGCCTGAGAGGTCGAGGGGGAGGAGGAGGAGGAGGAGGAGGAGGAGGAGGAGGAGGAGGAAAAAGAGAGGAGGAAAAGAGGAGGAGGAAAAAGAGGAGGAGGAGGAGGAGGAGGAGGAGGAGGAGGAGGAGGAGGAGGAGGAGGAGGAGGAGGAGGAGGAGGAGGGGGGAGGAGGAGGAGGAGAGGAGGAGGAGGGAGGAGGAGGAGGAGGAGGAGGAGGAGGAGGAGGAGGAGGAGGAGGAGCAGGGGGAGGAGGAGGAGAGGAGGAGGAGGAGGAGTAGGAGGAGAGGAGGGGAGGAGGAGGAGGAGGAGGAGGAGGAGAGGGGAGGAGGAGAGGATTGGAGGAGATGGGGAGGGGGAGGAGGAGGGGAGGAGGAGGAGGAGGAGGAGGAGGAGGAGGAGAAGGAGGAGGAGGAGGAGGAGAAGGAGGAGGAGGAGGAGTGGAGGAGGAGGAGAGGAGGAGGAGGAGGAGGAGGAGGTGGAGGAGGAGGAGGAGGGGGATGGGGAGGGGGAGGAGGAGGAGGAGGAGGAGGAGGAGGAGGAGGAGGAGGAGGAGGAGGAGGAGGAGGAGGTGGATGATGCTCCTGCTGCTGATGATGAGAATCATGTTGCCGCTAATGATGATGGGGGTCATGCTGCTGTTGATGGTGGTGGTGATGATGAGGGGGAGGAGGGGGTGGGAGGTGGAAATTTGCGGAGGCTGTGCAATTCGAAATTCGCTTGCCCAAGGCGCCAAAGGCGTGCTAAGATCTCCAGTAATAGGTTTTGATTCTACTAATTTGCGCGCGCGTGTGGCGGTCCCCAAGGGTCCTGGGTCGACAAATACCCCGGGAGAGTCCCGGAAGGTATGGTCACGGATACCCGAACTCCGGGGGGCGGCCTTTCCGGCCCTGAGGATCGCCACGGAGCGTTCCAGGAGACCCCAAAGGAGCTCCAAGAGACCCCAAGGGAGCTCCAAGAAACCCCAAGGGAGCGTTCCAAGAGACCCCAAGGGAGCAATGGGTGGACGGCCCCAAGATTGCCCGAAGACAATTTCCAGAAGGCCCCAAGATTGCCCCAAGATGGTCCCAGACAACCCCAAGTGAATCCCCAAAGGATCAATGTCACTGATTTTCGATAGGTTTTTTTGATGACTTTGACGTCACCGCCCTTTCAAGCTTCCGATTTCCGCAAACGGCCCAAGATGCCTCAAAATCGGCCTAAGAGAATCCAAGACGCTTCCAGGACGGCCCCCCAAACAGCACAAGAGGTCCCCCAAGAGGGCTCCAGAGGCTCCCAAGGCTCTAAGAGGTGGCATCCAAATTTACATGTCGGGCCCTTCCCCTAAAGATGGCCTCCGAGACTGCCAGACGGCCCCCCAGAGGCCCAAGAGGCCGTCAAGACCCCCCAAGACGCTCCCAAGACGGCATTGCT